TGCACTGAACCCTGCCTCACTGCTCCCAACGACCCCCACGTCTGACACACCAGCTCATAATTGCTTGGAAACCTTGGATGATTTCCTCCCCTGTCATTCTTCCATTTCTGAGGGACCACTCATCAATCCTGACCTTATCTGGTTCACTGATGGCAGTTCCTTTAGGCAGAACGGCACTCATTACTCTGGATACACCGTAGTTTCGGCCACTGAGATTATAGAGGCCAAAGCTCTCCCTTCAGGAACTACCAACCAGCAGGCTGACCTTGTAGCAGCCACTTGTGCCTGCCTTCTTGCGTAGGGCAAATCCCTCACCCTTTATACTGACTCAAAATATGTCTTCCATATTCTATTATCCCATGCTGCAATATAGAAGGAGCAAGGCCTATTTACCACTAAAGCTAATGTGATCACTAATTCGGCTCCTATAACCAATTTGATAGAGGCCTCCCACTTATCCGCCCAGTTGGGAGTTGTCCATTGTAGGTCCCATCAGAAGGACCATTCTCTTATCACTGAGGGCAGCGCCAAAGCTGACCAGGCGGCACGAATGGCTGCTATCATTTCCAATTATGACCCCCCTGGGGGGACATATAATGGCCGCTTTAGACTGTCCATCTGAAGCCCCTACTTCTTCCAGTAAGAACAAGGATCTTTTCGAGTTCCTCCATACTCTATTCCATTCCAATTCTCAGTCTTTGACCCTCTTTTTACAGAGCTTCTTCTCCTTCACCCCTTCTGACAAAGCCATGCTACAGAAAATAGCCTCTAATTGTCAGATCTGTCAGCGGACCAATCCTCATTCTCCTTTAAGGCCTAAACTGTTTCCCTCCCACCAGGCCTGGGGACACATTCCTGCTACTGACTGGCAGGTAGACTTCACCAACATGCCCACAGTATGGCGCACTAAATACCTCCTTGTCTTTGTGGACACTTTCTCTGGTTGGGTTGAGGCATTTCCCACTTCCAATAAAAAGGCTTCCACTGTAGCTTTAATCTTACTGACAGACATCATGCCCAGGTTTGGTATGCCCACTTCCCTACAATCTGACAATGGCCCTGAGTTTATTTCGAGGATCACACAAAAGGTCTCTCAAGCCCTCTCCTTCAAGTGGCATTTCCACTGTCCATATCGCCCCCAGGCTTCAGGGAAAGTGGAAACTGATTGCTACTTATGCGCCTCTCTGACTCGACCTTTGCTTGCAGCGGTTCCCTTGAACTTCTTGGCTTCTGACCTCTCAAATTTCTCTATTCCATCTGCCCACTATTCTCTCCGAACCCTTTCACCCAACGCTCCATTATGGGAGCCCGAGGAGGAGTCTAACCATACTGTGATTCCCCAGCACTGCCTCCAAGGCTTGGGTGTCTCCCAGTCAAAGTTTTGCCACTCTAACATCACCTTTAACTTCACCCTCTATGTACCACCTGGCTCATTCTTCTGGTGTAATGGTTTTCTCATCACTATCTTATTCACCAACACCTCTACCCCATGTATACTGGTGACACTTGTCCCGCAATTGACTCTCTATACCCCAGCTGTAGTGCAGGCCCTCTTGTCTCCCTCAGTGCAGAATAAGTAGGCTGCTTCTCTTCCAATATTGGTGGGTCTCTCACTGGCTGTATCTTCAGTGGGAGCAGGAATTTCTGGTGGAGCTCTAGGACACTCCTTATGGGCTGCACAGACTTAAGTTCTAAACTTGAACGAGTGCTCACTTCTATGGCAGAATCTCTAGCATCTTTACCAGGCAGGTCACATCCTTGGCTCAAGTTACTCTTCAAAATCGATGAGCTATAGACTTACAGCTGAGAAAGGTGGAACCTATCTTTTCTTGAGGGAAGAATGCTGTTACTACATCAATGAATCAGACCTTGTGGAAACTAATGTAGTCAAGCTCACCGACTTGGCTACCTCTTTGAAAAATCCACCAAACCAAAACCCATTTGCCACCTTCTTTTTAGCCCACTTCCAGTCTTGGCTGTTGCCTCTTTTAGGACCCATATGTCTTCTTTTCCTGATGTGTCTGTTCCTGCCCTGTCTGCTTCGCTTCCTACAGGGCCAATTACGGAAGATCTCTAACCAAACTTTCAACCAGCTTCTGCTTAGGTACTGCCAGCCTCTGACCAATGAACCCCCAACATCTTCAAGAGAACAGCTCACTCATTGCTGAAGCTCACTACCAGGCGCGATGGAATGCAATGGACATCGGACAGTGGAAGACAACGAGCCTGGAGAGCCTCTTAATCTGCCATTCTGGATTTTTGAGCCTTTATGTCCTTTTAAGCCTCCCATGGCCTTTGGCCTCTTCTCTGTCGTTCCCCTGACATGGAACTTCTGCCAAAAACTGACATTTGCTTTAATTTTTATCTTCATCTTGTTTTTGTTCGCTCTGATTTTCTTCAGGTGCTGGTGATGCCATGTCAAGGCAATGCTTCCAGCATTTCCTAGAGTCTCTGTTACAGGACCAGTGGCTGATACCAACAATCTCCTCCATCCAGACTGGTTCGATGCCATTGACGACTTGTGGTTTCAGGGAACTTTTATATAAGACTTTACCCGTACCGAAGTAGCTGTCTATAGCCACTGGGTTTTATTTCTGGTTGCCATGATATCCCCAGACCTGCCCCCACAACATTCCTCCACTTCCTTTCTAGGCCCTATGCAGCCCCCGCACAGCTGGAAGCAGCCAGATCTGACCAACAATGCCCCACTTCCTAAGAAAACAAAAAGGGAGGAATGTTGGGAAAAACATATAATAGCAGCAGCACCCCAGAGGAAAACCCCAACATGGTGTCTAACGACCCT